TTCTCAATGAAACCCCAGGTTTCCTAGGGTACAAAGCAAGCCTCAGCAAACATAAGAAAACCAATATTATACTGTGCATACTATCTGATCACAATGCAGTAAAACTGGAACTCAACAACAAAAGTAAAGCAAAAAAATGCAAACAGCTGGAAACTAAATAACTCATTACTTAATGAACAATGGATCATTGATAAAATAAACGAGGAACTTAAAAAGTTCCTTGAAGTCAATGAAAATGAAAACACAACGTACCAGAACCTATGGGACACAGCAAAGGCAGTCCTCTGAGGAAAGTTTATAGCCATGAGTGCATATATTAAAAAGACTGAAAGATCCCAAATCAATGACCTAATGATACATCTCAAACTCCTAGAAAAACAAGAACAAGCAAATCCCAAAACAAATAGGAGAGAAATAATAAAAATAAGAGCTGAAATCAACGAAATAAAAACCAAAAAAAAAAAAATACAAAGAATTAATGAAACAAAAAGTTGGTTCTTGAAAAAATAAACAAGATCCACAGACCCCTGGCATTAGATCAAGGGCAAACACAACAATGGGATTGGACTTTGAGCACATGATAATAGCGTGAGCACACAAGGGAGGGGTGAGGATAGGTAAGACACCTAAAAAATTAGCTAGCATTTGTTGCCCTCAACGCAGAGAAACTAAAGCAGATTCCTTAAAAGCAACTGAGGCCAATAGGAAAAGGGGATCAGGAACTAGAGAAAAGGTTAGATCAAAAAGAATTAACCTAGAAGGTAACACACACGCACAGGAAATTAATGTGAGTCAACTCCCTGTATAGCTATCCTTATCTCAACCAGCAAAAAACCTTGTTCCTTTCTATTATTGCTTATACTCTCTCTACAACAAAATTAGAAATAAGGGCAAAATAGTTTCTGCTGGGTATTGAGGGGGGGGGGGGGAAGAGAGGGGGTGGAGTGGGTGGTAAGGGAGGGGGTGGGGGCAGGGGGGAAAAATGACCCAAGCCTTGTATGCACATATGAATAATAAAACAATAAAAATTAAAAAAAAGAGAAAAACATTAAAGACTATCTGAGAAAAAAAGAGAAGATGTACTCAGAAACATTATGAATGGAAAAAGAGACACAACTACAGGTCCAGTTTAGGACATGTGAGATGTTATCAACAACTGTATGTGGATACATTTTAAAACAAAAAATAGATTCCTAGAAAAAGAGATAAATAAAACTTAAGCCGATTCAAGCAGACACCAAATGCCTGCAAAAATCTTAGAACTTTTAAAGAAACTGAAGCAGTAAGAATTTTCCCACAGCAAAATTATAAATCCAGATAATTTATAGATAGTTTACCAAACGGTCAAGGAAGAGATTACTTTGATCTTATACAATCACTCATAGAGAATAAGGGAAAAAAGAAAGGAGAGGGCATACTTCATCTTTTTCTCTGAAATTGATGTACTAAAGCCAAAATTAGACAAGAACTGTGTGAAAACAAAAAGGTAGAACTTTATTTTACTCAAGAATAGCTGTAAAAATCGCAAATAAATTATTAGCAAACTGAATCTAACAGTATAGAAAAGATGACATGCTGTGACCATGTTGGGTTTATCCTAGGAATGGCAGGTGGTTTCATATTTGAACAGAGGTAAACATTTGAAGTCTTCTATTTAAAATTAGGAACAAGCAAGGCAGGGTGTTGTATTCCTGTAACCCCAGGTACTTGGGAGGCAGTGATGGGGAGGATCATGGTTTGAGGCCAGTCTGGAAAAATGTTAGCAAGATTCACATTTCAATGAACATGTTGGGCACAGCATTGTGTAACCTGTAATCCCAGCTCTGCAGGAAGCACAGGTATGGGTATCCTGATTCAAGGTCAACCCCAGGTGAAAACATAAGACCCTATCCAAAAAGTAATAAAGCAAAAAAGGGCTGCGAGCATGATGCAAGTGATAGAACATCTGCTTAGCAAGGGAAAGACTCTGAATTCAGCTCTACTACTGCCAAAAATAAAATAAAATGAAGTAAAATAACATAGGAGCCAGGTAACAATACCCATTACTGCCATTTTTCTCCAGCATTGTATTAGAAGTTCAAGAAAAATAGAGTCAGGTGTTCAAAGGACAAGAATAATATGATATTTTTATAGATTAGATAATTGTTTACATGAAAACTGAAAGCAGATAGGGCCAATCCAACTGATGTACAATGTAAGCCTATTCGGATTTGTCACAACGAATCTCCCTGTACAACAAATATATTCTTGGGAAAAAAAAAAGAAGATCAGGTCTTAGAGGAAAAAAACAGGCCCTATAATTTATCTGGGCCACATAAATACGTATGCCAGTCTTGATGAGAGCTCTGCAACCACTGTCCTGTTTTGTCCCACAGACAGCTGGGAAATGCATCATTACTAATAAATTAATTTCCATTGCATGCAAAAAGAAAAGAAAAGAAAACTGAAGGCAAAGCTAGTTTAATACCATTATTCAGGATGCTTGGGACCAGAGGTGTTTTGGATTTTCCTCAGATTTTGGAGAGATTATCCATTATCTCATTATGTATCTATTACACATATATAAGGAGAAAGCTTGGAGCCAGGACCCAATTGTCAACACAGAATTCATTTAGGTTTCCTATCTGCCTCATACACATAGCCTGATGGTCATTTTCTATAATATTCTTAATAACTTTGTTTATGAAACAATGTTTGTGAACACTGAACTGTCAGATTTGTGGTGCCATATCACACTCAATATGGATCAGATTTTGGAGCTAACTTTGCTGGGGTGATCAACTTGTAAAGGTTTAAATAAGAAAGCTGAATATAAGGTCAATTTGCAAAACTGAGTTGTATTTCTATACACTATCACCATTGGAGAACATATTTTTACAAAAGATATCATTTAGAGTAGCAAAAATGTATAAATTTCCTGGGCCCTATGGATAGATCTGACAAAACATGTATAAGACCTTTGTGCTGAATACCGAATAATTTTCTTGAAGGATATTAACAGGAACAACTAAAGGGAGAGATGTTCCATATTCATTCACCCAGCTGCTACCCACTCTCTGCAATGCCGCCTGGTGTTACCGATGTTCAACCTGCTATGGCATTGCTAGCGAGTTTAATTGGAAGCATTTGATGACTCCAGATAGCCCTGATAGGAGTTTTGACTTGACTTCAACTCAAATTAATTGGTAACAGAGTGTCTGAACACAAAAGGATTCTCACACAGAGTCAATGCTCTGGGGAGAAAGAAGGCTGTGAGCAGCTGGCAGTGTGTACTGTGGGGTGAGGGGTACCGGAAGCAGGGGTGTTTGTCATTCTTGCAAAGACTTTCTGCAAGTTGAGCCCTGTCACACAATGAGCTGCAGTGTCTGATCGCTCTGCTGTGTGCTCTCAGGTTGGCACCACAGCTGGCCACTGGAATGTGCAGAGCTAGTGTTCTCTGTGTGATAGAGATATGTCACGGGGACAGAGACACCCTACAGGATAGTTGAAATACCTTCCTGACCCCTGCCATCATTGTATTTTACAATTTATTTCCATGGGTTTTTATATGTGGCGTAGATCCATCCCGTAATATAGACAAGCCAATTGAGACTGTCTGGTACAGTGTTTCTCGCAGCCGAGCATCAAGAAGCATGGAGTGGGTGGAAAGGGAGGGGGTGGGGGCAGGGGGGAGAAATGACCCAAGCATTGTATGCACATATGAATAATAAAACAATAAAAAAAAAGAAGCATGCAAATGCCTGCTTACTAAAGATGCAGATCCTGGCACTGCCTAAGACCAAATCTGCCTTTCTTTTTCTTGCCCAGTGGCTCATATTTACTTTTACAAATTACTAGTAGAGTAACTATTCACACTGAAAAAAGGCAAAAGTCCTGGCTTCTGCTTCTATTTCAGAGAACAGCTCACTCCCTTTATGATTTTGAGGTCATTTACTCTCTCTTGGCTTCTTATGGAAAATGAATTTAAGCACCCTAGATTATTTTAAGATCACATTTAACTGTGCTATTCTATGATTCCATAAAGCATATACTGAGAATCTTCGGCTAAAAAAAGAGTTTGAACCTCAGAAATGGAGTCTATACCAGCACCTTTTATGTAAGAGCTTAAGATATCTGATTTGCTTCTCTTAACACTCTTTTTTTTTTTGGGTGGTAGCTTAGATATCTTAATTCTATTACTGAGGAAAAGGGATTCGGTTTGACTATCAAATGTGTTTAGAATGATTTAGACATGTGACCTAGACAACGGATATATGACCTAAAGAACCGTGGTAATACTTGGTGACAGCTTCACTTTTACTGCAGAATAAGTGCCAATAGAATGGCACAAGAGAGTGCTTTGAGTTGGAAAGCAGATTCTAGCAAATTAAGTACATTTGATTTTTTTTTCACTACATATAATACCTAAACAACAGCTAAATGATCTAAAATTTCAGACTTCCCTAAGAAAATCTACTCCTTCATTGACAGAGGAGTACAAGATTGTTCAGCTGGTTTTCTAAATATGCAGGATTCATTACTTCGACAAGATATTTTCCAGGTTATACTTGCTGCATAGTCAAGAGAGGCAAGCTGCTCAAATTAATGAAGAACGTCACTGACCCCATAACAACGGTATAATAAAAAAAAATGGCCACTCGTCATTTCACATCCTCAGCAAGGCACCAAGAAGGGAAAGGTTTGCATGCATGAGAGCAACCATCCCAGCAGGGAGGAGGATATATCACTTAGGATGTTTGCAGTTGCTAACTTTTGCTTGGTTTTATTGTTGTTTAAAAGTCTCTATGGCCAATCTCTTAGTTCTTACATATGCATAGGGTCCCACTGATACTTTCTGTGTTATATCAAAGCACACTCTAGTTAATTATAACATATTTACAATTTGCAAGTATTTTGTCTCTTATTATTTTTTTGTCTTTCTCCTCTATTGGATTCTAAACTCTATAACACACTTTGTCTACTTTTTTCCTGAGACAAACACTAATAGTCATGAATGTACATCGCTCAAGTCACTTACCCATTTTGAGCCAATTACAGGGGTTGAGATTACCAGATGTGCAGTGGTAGATTAATGTTGATTTAGGTCTGGAAGATGAAATAAAAGTTAGATAAACACAACAAGATGGGAACTAATAAAGGAAAGATAAGGGGAAAATAACATTAAGCATGAAACAGTAGTTTTAAAAATTCATGTCTAAAGCAACTTACAAAACACTTCCTTCTTTTTTTGGCAGTGGTGGGGTTTGAACTCAGGGCCTAGAACTTACTGGGAAAGTGCTCTATCACTTGAGCCTCCTGCTAGCCAAAATACTTCCAGTTTTTGATCTTTCATTTAGTTAATATGAAAAATAGAAAAAGAAGAAAAGTGTGTGTGTGTATGTGTTTAAGGGAGCACATATGTCTGAGTTCACATAAGAAAATTTTAATATTTTAATTCTACTTATCACTTACAAACAGAGCCAAATGTGCAAGCCACCAATTTTTTCTTTGTATTAGAAAAATTCTTTACACATGGTGATCTGAACTCTTGGCATTTACTAGGAACTAAGCAGTTCAATAAAATATAAAACACACTGTCATTTCATTGGCTTTTATCTAACTTGCCTTAAAAAAAGAAGTTGGGTTTTTAGATAGTTGAGGAGAAAGAAAGGCTTTTTGGACAACAAGAATATCATGTTAAGTGATTTAAAAGGTGTATATTACTTTATTATCAACCAAATACCAAGCAGTATATAAACTCAACACACATGATGATATATTAGGAAGTATATAAAATATTGAAACAAACAACTGATGACATTTGTTGCCTTCTGTGATGAAATGGCTAAATTTTGAAAATGTGCCATTCATTATTCTTCCTATTGAATCTTTAAAGCCTGATTGACAATATTATATATGCATAGGAATATATACAGAGCATGCATCCAAAAGTGGGATTGGTAGAAGAGACCAAGGGAGGAGGAAAAGAAGGAAAGAAAGATAGTGAATAATAAGGAAATACATCACATCTGTGTAGGAGCAGGACACAAGGATACATGCTGAAAACTCTTAAGCAACACAGGATAGGAGAAAAAGGGCAAGAAAGTGTAGTGGATGGGGGTTACCTTGACTTAAGCACAATGCATATACAGGTATAATGCCAAGGCATAAATCCCACTGACCAACTAACATACACCTAAACGATGAAGGACAAGAATGAAAAACAGGTCACGCTAAGGGGCGGGCACAAATGGGAGGAGGAGGGTAAAAGAAGGAAGTAAAGAAAGTGAATATGGGTGATGTACTTTCTATACAAAAATGGATATAGAATTTTTAAGTCTGTTGATATCACTATAAGAAGGCGACTTAGGTAGAAAGGAGAAAAACGGACAGGATGAACCAATCTGGGTATTAATACCTGTATACATGGAAATGTCACAATGAAACTCTTTGAATAGCTATCTTAAATAAAAATGTCTTTTTTTTCTAAAACGGGATGGGAAGGTAATAGATCCTGTCTGGGGTTGGTACCAGTGTGTAGGGAGAGGCTGTAAGAAAAGGGTGTAGGAGGGCGAATGTGATGGAATTATTATGCATACATGTATGAAAACGGAAAAATGAGACCTATTAAAACTATTCTAATGGGGGGAGGGGAGACAAAGGAGAACAGTGAAGGGGTGAATTTAAGATATATAGTAAGTACTTTGGTAAATGTCACAATGTACCCCCAGTATAACAATAATATGATAATAAAAAAAAATCCTATTTAAGCATCCACACCTATGAACTGCTGTGTACCATCCTGCTGCTAAGGTGAGATTGACAACTGTATCAACCGGAATTAAATCTGCCACAGCCATTGGAGTAGCTCTTAAGGACCGAAGAAATCCTTTCCCAGCCTGCACAGGAAGAAGAGAATAAAATATTAAACCAGGCCTTAAGTAACAGCAGGGGCTAAAGGATATAGTGAACAGGTAGCACTAGTGCTGTTAGTAAGAAAGGCTAACATTGATCTGTTTCCCAGTAGGTTGTTACATTAAACCTGACCTCCCAGTCTATCCAACTTTCCCAATCAAGTTCATTGCAAGAGCCAACATTTCCATGAACCACTAGCGGTCTCTCGGTTCTGTTAGGGGATAAAATTCCTCAAATTTGTGAGAGATTAATGTACTAAGTTAATTAACAGACACCAATAATAAGTTTTCACATCTCAAAAATTAACTCATAAAACATTTTAAGAATTAAGGGCCCCCTCGTTTCTCCTTTAATACTTGTTTTTTTCTTGTAGCTGGCTCCCCCTTGTCTGGACATAAGAACTGGGGGAGTGTGGATATTAGAAAATTTGAATAAATGTGAAGGTTTGCAATGTAATGATAAACATTCTGAGCCCATGGTAAAATACTGAGAGTCATTCTCAAAGAAGCTGGAAAGAGAAATGAGTTGACGGCAGGTAGGGAACAGAAAGAAAAGATGCTAGAAAAATTCCAAGTCAAAAGGAAACTCATTGTCACTGTCTTTGATAAGTCATAATTCACTGTCTCCTATTTGCATTTTAATTCATGCTGGACCTAGTTTGGTGAAGAATAATGATGGAGTATGACACATGTATAAAACGTGATTCCTAGTAGGATTTAAACTTATTTGGATAATTGGATTCCTGCTATTCATCCTAAGAGGGGAATTGTGTTTCATGGTGGTCTGGACGGTGAGTGGCAGCTCAGCTGGGTCAGTTTGATGTGCCCCAGGCACCTGCCTGGGAGAGGAGACCACTGCAATTATGTTTGAAAAGTGTGCCACAATTTGTAGTTCTCTTTCTTGCATCCATTAAGATCTAGTTATTGATATTTATCTCCTTTCATCTATACATACTCATACACTCTTGCATATTTTAAGATGAAACATTTAGAAATCTTTGAGGATAAGATTTTTACTGCATTCCCAATTTGCTGCACTAATTGAAGCTATTAATAAACAGAGAAAGGGAAGAAATGCCCCATCTTGTGGTAACTAAAGGAAAAGTCTTGCTGCTCAAACATTTTCCAGATAAAACTCCTCAATCAGTACTTGATGATACCGCGTTACCTCTGTGTTTTTGATAAAAAATTCTCACAGAAACAGAGTAATTTTACCCTACCTCTATTTTACAAGCAATAAAATTGAGAAAAATTGCTTCAGTTGTTACTGCAGTAACATTTAGCTTTGGGATCAATGAAGCTTAAGCCACCACTAAGAATTTTGCCGCTCCTCACTGCATTTTGTTATACATACCGCAATAATCATGCCACTAGGTCCATTTAGGTTATCAACCCAACCCTAAAAAAAAAGAAGGTCTCTGTTGGTTATACATTTCAGAACAGTGCCGTATCTTTGGAACATCTGCAGTCTAATCCTAATACACTTTGAACAAGAGTACTCAGACCTCAGGCAATAAGAGGTCCAATTCAATATGTCTAAAACAAAGACCAAAGGCAAGAGTGCTGGCATTTTCTGCACTTTACTTGGCCATGAAATAATTGAAATTTTGTTGTCATTGATTTTCATAGTAGAAGGTATGGGTGGTTTCCTGTTGTTTTATACTGTCTTATAGGTAAATTGGACCTTGTTTAAAAATCATGACCTTCTAACCAATTCATCAAACATAATCTTTATCCATGAGAGGCCTGATTTTAAGCTCTCTGAAAACATTTCAAACAAATATGTAGGAAGCAGTCCTGTGTATAAATATATATATATATATATAGTTTATATATATATATATATATATAGTTTATATATATATATATATATATAGTTTATATATATATATATAGTTTATATATATATATATATATATATAGTTTGTTTTAGATATATAAATTCCTTATTTGGTTATATATATATGTATATATGTGTGTATATACATATGTATATATATATATATATATATAGTTTTTGAGATAGTGTCTCATTATATAGCCCAGGCTGGCCTGGAACTCATGAACCTCCTACCTCAGCCTCCCAACAGCTGGAATTACAGGCATACACCACCATGCTCAGCCCACATATGTTTTCGTGTGTGTATGTGTGTGTGTGTGTGTGTGTGTGTGTGTGTGTGTGTTAGTCTTCCTGCAGATATTAGAGGAAAGAGTATGCTTAGGAGCAGTTAGGTAGAAATGTCTTTGTGAGTTTGTTTTCTAAGCCATAAGCAAGCAAATTAGTTGACCTTAATATGTCCGTTTCTTTATCTATAAACGTCAAAATATTTGTGTGTAAGGGGGGAAGAGACAGGAGAGGTGAAGATGAAGGGTTATTTGTTTATTTGTTGGTGCTTTCACCAGGGACCGGGCACTGCACTAAGCACTACTCAAGCACTTTCTCATTTAATGAACTCTCCAAAGAGAGATGCATTAGCTTAGATTTGCAGATGAGACAACTCAAAAACTTGCACTGCAGTGGTGAAGTGGAGTGAGTGCACCTCTCTGTGAAGCTGCAGAGCTGCCTGGAGGAAGATGGTACAATTCAAAGTACTTTTCAAAAGGGTATAGCAGTAGCCAGAGGTAAAACATTATTCCTAAACTATGAAATCATGAGCTTTGTAACTCCTGTTTTTTCTGGTAATTGCAATACTACCAATTTGGAGATGAAGAATGTTCTTCCTCTGAACCATAGTGAGTAAGCCAAGTAGTGAAACTATCTTCCCTAGGAATATTGAGACTAGAGTTAGTCAGGAGCTATTTAGGATCTCCACTTAACTCGAGGACAGTCCTAGTAACTCCCAAAGGAGCCTTATGCTGGGTAAGTCTTGAACCAAACACAAAATTTTGCTACAATACAATGGATTAACATTTGATTTGCTGCATTCAACTATAAATCCAAAGAATAGGAAGCAGGAGCGTGAGGAAAAGGAGGAGGAAGCGGAAGCAGCAGGAGCAGCAGCACAAGAGGGGGAGGGGGATCAGAAAGAAATCAGGCTAGGGGGACCACAGTTGGAAGCAAAGTGAGAAATCCAAGTGTGTGGGCTCACTGGGAAAGGCTCCTGCCAGGTTGCTCCCACAATGGAGGGCCTGATGATAGCAATGTTCAGGTTTCTGCCCTCTTGGTGCACCACCATCTCTCCCAAGGCCTTGGTGTAGGTGTAAGTATTGGGCCGATCCCCGATTAGCTTGGGAGTAATCTCATCAACAATAGCATCATCTAACCACCTGAAGGTAGAGAAAAAAAAGCCATTAAGCAACATACATTTCACAATAGGCCAAACAGAAAATGTGAGACATGGACAAGCAAACAAGTGTTTCACCTTCACGCTTGAGTTCTGTAATTCAGAATCATCCCTGGTTACAAAAGATGCATGTGTACCTGTGTGAATCATCCATGATGACTGGGCTTTCCACTTCCTTCTACCAAGCCCAACCTTAATCAGATTCTACTCCCACCAGGTAGATAAATAGATTAACTCAACAGATGTGCAATCTACTATTTATTACACACAGCCTCTAATTGTCTTTGCCTCTTCCTCAGCAAGGTTATGAGTACAGACACTGCACACGTTTTCTGAGCACCAGTCATGCCAGGTTCTGTGCTCATGCCTCAAGTTCCCTTATCCAAAGTGCTTCACTAGAGTCCCCTCATTCACTGTAGTCCATTAAAAACTTTGTTCCCTGATCTTGAAACCTCAGCATTTAATTTTAAATTTCACTCAGTGCTTCGACAAACAAAGCAAATCTGTGTGATGTATTTTGAAGGTCTGTTTAGCATCTAAGATAATAGCTTGATAATTATTTCCAGAGATTTCCAGTGAATTCTGAAGTCTGTCAAGTGCCATGGTTACCGGACTCTGACACAGCATTAAGAGCACAGTGATCGAACACTCCTACTTAAGAGGTGATAGTCATTGTGAGTAACTGTGTCACCAACAGCCTCAGCCTAATCTTTTCAGAAGCACGTCATTCCAACTTTATCTACATTTTTCTAAAAGTGTAACAAAATTATTGTCAATGAAATATGTAATGTTTCCTTAGCAGATCTATTTGGTTAACTTCTTGATATAATACAGTTAAAAAAATTTTTTTTAAATTAGGCTACCAGTACCATGAAATAGGTACAGTGGGGAGGGGTAGTTGTGGTAGGGTGGAGTGTGTGAATGGAGATGAAGGTGAGGGAACATGATTGACATATCATCTTCATATACATATGAAGATGATGAAGCATCTTACAATTGCTTTAAGTGGAGTGGGGAGGGTTCATGGGGGGAGATGGTGGGGCTATCTAATCAATGTAAAATGTAAGGCTATCTATAATTGTCACAAGAATCCCCCATATACAATGAATTTATCCTAATAAAAATGAAAAAATAAAAATAAAAATAGGCTACCAGTATATGTTCATGTGAATTTTATCATTAATGTTCTTGATATATTTATTTCTACTTTACAGCATAAACCATAACCAGATTTTTGATCGTGGAAAATCTTAACTACTTGTGCTTTGTTCCTATGATAAATTGTTTGAGTCTTTAAAATATATTTGATGGGCTGATGGAGTGGCTCAAGTGGTAGAGCACCTACCTAGCAAGTGTGAGGCCCTGAGTTCAAACCCCAGTACCACAAAAGAATTTTTTTTAAATGTATTTGAGCCAGGCGCAGGTGGCTCACACCTGTAATCCTAGCTACTCAGGAGCAAGAGATCAGGAGGATTGAGGTTCAAAGCCAGACCAGAGAAATAATTGATGAAACCCTATCTCAAAAAAAAAAAAATCACAAAAATAGGGCTGGTGAAGTGGCTCAAGGTGAAGGCCCTGAGTTCAAATTCCAGTACTGCAAAAAAAATGTATTTGATGCTAAGACTTATTCAGAATCATGACTCTGAATATTAATGAATCTCATTTGATATTGAGGTAGAATGTAAAGACCATCTGTAATGTTTTAATCCTTCTTTATGCACTTCTATTAGCTGAATGTACTCTGGACAACACCTAAACGCCTTTTGGTTTAGACTGAATAGGGAAAGGCTTTAAGAAGTTCCTAGAACTGAAAACAAGTCCACATACATATGGAAACAGAGGGTATTTTGATTATTTGGCCACCAGAGGGTTGGAAGCATGTGTGGGATAAAGCAGCTGTCCTTCCATCTTTATAATAATATAGGTGTTCCTCAGTATCTGAAGGAATCGGTTCTGGGATCCTTGAAGATACCAAAATATACAGATGTTCAAGTCTTTTATATAAAATGGTATATAACCTATGAGTGTCTTTCTGTTTACTTTCTTTTTTTTCAGTACTGGGAATTGAACGCAGGCCTCATTCTTCCTAGGCAAGCACTCTATCACTTAAGCCATGCCTCTAACGCTTTCTGTTTTTTTTATTTTATTTCTTTTATTCATATGTGCATATAATGTTTGGGTCATTTTTCCCCCTTTCCCCTGCCCCCTCCCTTACCCACCCACCTCCTCCTTCTCCCCCCATACCCCCCCAACCAGGCAGAAACTATTTTGCCCTTATCTCTAATTTTGTTGAAGAGAGAATATAAGCAGTAATAGGAAGGACCAAGGGTTTTTGCTAGTTGAGATAAGGAAGACTATACAGGGAGTTTACTGGCATTGCTTTCCTGTACATATGTGTTACATTCTAAATTAATTCTTCTTGAACTATCTGTTTTGTTTTTGAGACTAACTTTCCCTGGGCTGACCTCTAACTTGTGATCTTCCCACCTCTGCCTCTGAAGCAGGTAGGATTATAGGCATGTAGTACCATACTTGCTGGATTACTTGTGATACCTAGTGCAGCATAAACGGTATCTAAATACTTGGTACACTGCATTGCATAGGAGATAATGACAAGAAAAAAATCTGCACATTTTCAGTACAGGTATAACCTTTTCCCCCAAATGCTTTGGGCCAGCAGTTGGTTGAACCTGAGGAGGAGGAAGCCACAGAGGTGGAGGGCCAATTGCACTAGCAGGGCTTCATTTTGCTTGGGGGGTCAACAGTGAACTAACTGACCTAGGCCATTTTCTCTCACCTACAGAACATACAGGTGTCAACACCAAGTTTAGAAGAAATAGAACTTAATGTCAACAAAGCTGGAAAGAAATACATTTTAAGAAAACATCAGAAGCCGGCAATCAATGGGACTGTCCTGTCATACAGTTAGTATCCATGCCTGTCACTAGTGTTAGTGTGCCTGCAAAAGATGCCACCTGGAGCCTTTACAAAATCAAGTAAGTTAGCTTGTCTTAGAAAAGACTGGTCTCACTCACAGATTCCTAAGAACACAAGTGTACATGAGGCTGAACATTCTGCAGATGGCATGCCTCTACTACACTTAGTTCCCACCATTTTTACTTACAAAAAATGGCAGTAATTGCATCTGTCCTAAATTCTCAGGTTATCACAAGGACAAACAGGAATATTCATAAACGCACTTACAGCTATTTGATAAAACAAAGTGAGCTGATGAAACTAAGATTTTTTTTTCTTTTTTGTTTTGTGGTACCTGGAATTGAACATAGGGCCTTACACATGCCAGGCAAGCAGTCTACCACACAGCTACACGCCCAGCCCAGTGGCATTCTGACTTTTTAGCAAAATGAGGATATAGTTGGTTTCAAGTATCTTTATGACTACCTGACAGATCATTTATTGTCTCCTTTAGTCCCTTGTGAGGTTCGGAGAGGCAATCAATGTGACAAATATGCAGATCCCCTGCTGGGGAGGCCATCTTCAGGACCTACACTCATACAGTTCAAGGTTGCTGCTATTGCTTGTCCTCCATTGTTTTTAAGACACTAACTTATTATGGAAAAAGAGTCTATATAAATCAAAATACATTTCTGAAATGAACCAGATGCCCTTCAGGAGACCTTGTGAACCAGTGGGTCTCCAATTCTAAACATCAATTGCTTTAAAAGAAGCCTGAAGTCATGGAAGATTTCAGAAAGCAGATGTACATACACACAGGCACACAGCATTTCTTCTAAGTTACACTATCACTTTGCTGTGAAGTGCATTGCATCAACATCATGATATCATTAGTAGTTTCATTATGAATGTAGTTACCTAGTGAAGTAAGAAGAGAGATATGTATTTTTCTCCTTAATTTTCATATGCAAGTCCAGTTTACAAGTGTTTCAGACAAGCTTTCTGGGGAGTACTCATCCTGACTCATTCTCTTTCTCTAGTTTGTATTATGTTATTCCCTTGATAACTGCAAATATCATGTCATATGTGTTTGTCATGTGTCTGTTTCCCCCTGGACAAAGTCCAGGAGAACAGGCCCCAGGATCCAGCTACCATATTCACTAAGTGCATTCTCTTCCTCATGGTAGTCTTGAATAATCAATTTGTGTACTGTGTAAGGTTTGGGGGAGCAGGGATGAAAAGGATGCAGCAGGTGAACTCAGAAGGAGATGATGTTGTAGGGAGACTGTGGGAAAAGAAGGGAGGAATGTCTTTGTAGAGAAGGAAGCAAAATTGTCCAACGGCAGTGATGACAATCTCAGGTTGACAGAGCAGGTGTCACAGTAAATTGAAACTGTCTCCTGGAAGGAGAGTATTTCTGAGCCTAATGCTTATGGGGAATTGTTCTTTTGGAAAAGTCTATCCAGAATTTTACTGAGCCAATCTTGACCCAATCTGTGCTGGATGCTGAATGGTCCACATATTGGCCTGACACCACGAAAATTATTTGCTTTGTTTAAGAAAAAAAAATTAGCCCTGAGCTGAATTTGTACTTAAAGCTTGGCAAAATTAAAGCTCACAAATTCTCAGTTTCCACTCAGCTGTTTGGATGCCACCGTGAGCCTGTGTCATCCCGAAAATAACATGCAAGTATGAGAATTAGTTTTTACCTTTCCTCTGGAATAGATGATGATTTTTTAGGGATAACAATGTGCTTTCTAGCACAGAGGCAAAACCACTTTCCATCCTCTGACCTCTGTTTATACTTCCCAAGGGGCTGCTATGAGGCCTAATGCTGTAGGCTGCAGAGCTTTGGTCTTGCTCTCCCTGTCTCTGGCACCCTTTCCTCGAGTGCCCAGCCCCAGTTGATTGCTGTCAGCACTTCATCAAGCAACACCACTTCTGTTTTATGGCGGGTAGGCAGCTTCAGAAATTTAACATTTACAACTACCAATCTCCTTGGAATTTTTATTCAATTAAAGCATGTAGGAATTGAAGACAACAGAAGGCAAGGAGAGCAGAAGAATG